GGGGGGGGAGGAGAATGAGAGGAAAAGTGAAAATAATAATAAATAATTTTGAAGATGGAATGATTTAAAAGTTTTATTCAGTTTTGCAGTAGGTATTTTAAGAAAATAAATCTCTTATTTAAAGATTTGTTTATATCTGTATCAATCAAAGAAGTAAGAAATGTCTAAATTTAATTTCAGCAAAGTATATCGGATGAACAAATTTTAACATTTTCTGTATGTCTCGTAGGTAAATTTGAAACATGGTATGAAAGGAGTTCCTATGGAAATATCAAGAGAAACATGCACTGCTTGTGCAGGTAGTATGATATTAGAAATGGCCGCTTTATCCCGATTAACAGGTGAACCGATTTTCGAGGTAAAATATTTTGTGGATATGATATAATATGTAGGTGTTTCTTAAATATTCTAAAAGATTTTCAGGGATTCCTTACATTAATTCAAGATGAAAACTGAATGACATGTATATTCAAAATGGTTTAGTTTCAAAGACAGAAATTTTCCAAAAATTTCGAAAATCACTCGGGTTATTTTTATGAAATTTAAAATGTACACAAAGTTTCATTAAAATTAGTTTTCGAAATTTTTGAAATACATTTTTTTTTTTTTTTCAATTTTCAGACATCCTAAATCTTTGAAACTAAGCCATTGCAAATAATCATATGAAGTTTTCGTCTTCAATTAATATGAGGAAATACTTAAAATCTTTTATTATATTTAAAAATCACTCTATATGATTATGATTAATAGTTGACTAGCAGTAATAAATATTGTTTTTCTAGGAAAAAGCGCAGAAAGCTATGGATGTTTTGTGGCGTATGAGACATCGTGGTACAGACTTAATGGGATCTGTGTTGAATGTTAATTCTGGAGATTGGGTACGAAGAGATTCCGGTGTCGGTGCAGGCATAGACTCTTATTATGAATATTGTCTTAAGGCATATATTTTACTAGGTAATTATTTAAGAAAAATTATCGTTTTACAAGCAATTATGTGTTCAATTTTACTTAGGTTATTCGTAAACACTTTCATTTCGAGGTATTACTACGAAATTTCTTATCAACATAGGTTTTATTTTGGCTATTTTCAATTGTACTTTAAATCAATTTTATAATGTCCGATTGTCTTCATAATTGAAGAAATTATGGACATGGCTATTCAATTAGGAGTCGTTAATTATTTTGGGGGAAGGGGTGACAAACTTTAAGGTCCTTATCTGTGTTTTGACACGCGCGCGTCTACACACAACACACGCGTGTACGCGTAAAAATGTAAGAACCGGCCCTTCTTAGAGCTACTATAATATCCAAATCCAACTGAACAACCTCGACATACGTAATAAACAACATACGTAACAAATCCTAACTATATGTCATCTTTGAAGCTTTATATCTCGGGAATGGCTTAAAAAGCACAAGTAGTGCTTTGCAATTATTTCAACGTCAGAAGACATACAGTAGGAATAAAGAAAAAGTCACTATTAAAATTCGATAAGTTTTTATCTTATGCACTACAAATATATAATGTCATTTTTTATAAATAAGTAGCCAGGATGAAGCAATAACAAATTAAGCTAAAAATCTTCAAAAATAATTTATAATATGATATTAGTAACGTGTGTTGAACTTCCTTAGCTTTTATCACAGCTTCTAAACACCGTGGTATAGAGTCAACTAATGTTTTTAAAACTTCAAACGTGATCTTAATCCATTCTTCAAATAGAGCTATTCGAATATTCAAATACAGTATTCTTTTTTATTTTGACATTTTGCGGTCCAATTTATCCTATAAATGCTCTAGGATTAAGATCCGGACTTTGAAGAGGCCATTTAAAAACAGTAATGTTTTTTGTCTCAAGAAATTGTTTGACAACGCGCTAGGTGTGTTTCGAGTCTTTGTCTATTTGGTGTTGAAATGTTAAATTATTTCCAAGATCCATATTTTGAGCGGAAGCACGAAAGTTTTTCTGGAGAATATTGCGACAATAAATTCCTATCCATTTTTCTGCTAATTTCTTCCAAATTACCAAGCTGCATCTGCGAAAAACATTTCCGTAACATCACATACCGACATGTTTTATCGTGCCAACAGTTCATATTGTAAACTATTCATATTATAAGCTATGTTTTCTGCAGTGCGTCTGCAAACCATCTGCCGTCTCTTGAAGCCACAAAGTTCATTTGGATTCGTCACTCCAAATAATACGAACTTAGAATTCAGGCTTATTCACGTGCCGATTTGTAAAAGCAAGTCTTTTTCATATTCGTTTTTGAAATAAAAGGAACATGATGAGCAACACTTTTAATCCGGCTTCATAAAGACGAATTGTTGAAACATGTTTTAATTCCTGTTAACTTTTGGATGAGATTTTGTAGAGATTTTGGGATTAATGATAGTTTGAAATTTGATATCGGTCTTCGTGGGCTATCGTGCTTCTCTTCAGTCTTCCGTCCTGATCTTGGAAGATTCTCACTGTGTCATAAGTTTCCATTTTTTTAACAATTTTGCGCACACTAAATGATTTTCCGATTTCTGGCTAGATTTTCCGATCTTATGACCATAATATCCATTTGGACAGTCGGTTGAGTTGTCATTCCTCAATAATATAATTGCTTTGTTACATTACTTTTTAAATTTTTAACAATGATTAAATAAAATATATTTACTTCAGTACTTTTGCTTTTACAATAGTTTAAATTAGAAAATAGAAGTGAAAAAGTAGCGACTACTATATTAGATTTACTTCTGAAAATTTCAACTTTTAATGACACTAACGTTTTCTACAGAAATGATCTCTTTGTTTAGTTTCAAACCAAAGCGAACTTTTGTTTTATATTATTGGCTATTTATATTAAGCTAAAGAGAGAAGCTAACTTAAGGGAATTCTTTTGATTGATAGATTCTCAAATAATTGTGCTAAATTCGAATTAATTCTTTTTTTTATCGTTTTGGCTGCTTATTTTTTATTCCCATTGTATTTTATTGCATATATACCCGTACTTTTTATTACATAATTCTTATAGAAGTTTCAAAATTGACATACTGTTAGTATTCGCATTATGTACATCGAGATTGCTCAGTCGGATACATTGCAGTAGCCCTATTCTACAAGAATATACAATAAAAATGAATTTTCACTAAAAAATTTGAAGTTAGCCTTTCACAAAGTAATTACAAGGTCAAATGAAAATGTCAGTATCATTTGTTCTTGAAATTCTACAATTTTTATCTAAAACATTTTTCCATATCTTTCGAAATATTTGCCTGAAGCAATTAAAATGAGATACCCTATATACATATATTCTTATTCTAAAATTACACATTTTCTGTCATTAATTAATTTAGCTTATTCTCTGTATAAAAATATCAGTTTAGGTCATGAAAAATGTATATTTTACGATTTATATGTATGTATGTATGTATGTTTGCGTACATATAAAGCGTTTATATATTTTATATTATATACAGGTGATGAGAAATACTTGGGCCGTTTTAACAAGCATTACCAAGCTGTGATGAAGTATGTCAGTCAAGGACCTATGTTATTGGATGTACATATGCATAGACCAAATACCAACTCCAAAAATTTCATGGACGCTTTATTGGCCTTTTGGCCAGGTCTGCAGGTATTAATTTTTAACATATTTTTAATTAAAAAAAAGTTTATTTATTTGAGTTTACAATTGGGTTCAGCAGTATTTTTTTGTTTTAAATAATAATTTAGGTCGTATATATTCTTAAAAATATATATAAAACATATCTTGCATATTTATTATTTTAATAACAAAATAAAAATTGTTACATTTGAATCGGGCTTTTTCGCTCAAAAATGTCGTATGACGTCATTATTAGCCATCGATAGTTAATCAATCCCGTCGCCGCTACCGCTATATCATATTTGCTTATTTACATCGTGTTCAATCTTAAAACTGCCGTCAGCCGTATTGCTCCAATAATTTTTGTAGGTTAGATTTCAAAGGTTACATTCTGAGCGTTTTGAGTAAAGAATGTACATATAATTATTATTATCAAATAAATTTAGGCAAATTACTATACACTGATCTCGTATTTGAACATTATTAATAAATATTAACTATTTTACCTTTTTATTTTAACTCCACTTGATTCGGTTATATTAATTCGGTAACATTCATTATTTATGAAATAATCAGCAATCATTCCCGTAGAAACTTTAGGAAGATTATCTGATTGCGCCTTCACGAAACCACTGTCACACATTTCTTGTTTTTTTTTAAATATAATAATGACAAAATTGCAAAACAACGTGTCTTATATTCGACTGTTGCTAACTATCCCGCCGAAATAGCTAATAATGATGTCACGACTAATCGCGCGATTATTGGATTCATAATGTTGACTATATATATATATATATATATATATATAACGATCTTTAAATAAATTATGGCAAAATAAACTTAAACAATAACATTTGAATGTTATTTATAACATTTTATAAGTCTAAAGAATATTTTAAAAAATTTTCAGAATATTTTATTTATTTCTGATAAAGCCAATTTTTTGCAGGTTCTTAAAGGTGACATTAAACCAGCCGTAGAAACGCATGAAATGCTATACCAAGTTATGCAGAGACATAACTTTATACCAGAAGCATTCACTACCGATTTTCAGGTAAATATTATATATTACAACTGATTACGGAATACGTAAAAAAATTTATTATATTTTATTTAAAATTAAATAAATTATAAGAGGCTCATAGGAATAAATTTAAATAAAATCAATAGCAGAGCTGACAAGATAAGCTAGGTGTACATGCTAATTAATATGTATTGAGTGAGATGGTAAACAATCTTTAATATAATATAAATAATTAATATACAAAATATACCAAACGTTTCGACCCTTTTACATAGCGGTCATCTTCAGTGGGAATATAACGAATTAAATACAAAACTTCAATTATATATCAACGCATTCGCTTGCAATTTATATTAGTCTAATGCTTTACAAAAATTGTTTTGCCGTCTAGACTAGATCTTTTGGAAAGCGTCATCTTTTCTCATCCGTATTAGCCCATCTGTATTAGAAACCGCATCAGACTAATATAAATTGCGAGCGAATGCGTTGATATATAATGTAAGTTTTGTAATTGTTTAATTCATTATATTTCCACTGAGGATGATCGCTATGTAAAAAGATTGAAACGTTTGGTATATTTTGTATGTTAATTATTTATATTATATTAAAAATTGTTTATCATCTCATTGTCAATCAATACATATTATTAGCATGTACAGTCATGGACACATTGGTTGCGACACTTTCTTTTTTATAGGTTTCAAAACGTATTAATATTTTGCAAATGCGGACCACGATTGGTGTTATATTGTCTCTAGACTAAAGATAGTACACGTGGTCCGCATTTGCAAAATATTAGTTATCTATAAAGTATATATTATGTATATTAAATATATATTAGAAACCTATAAAAAAAAAATGTCGCAACCGATGTGTCCACGACTGTACACCTAGCTTGGCTTGTCAACTCCGTTATTGATTTTATTTGCTATTATATTTTATATTGCATTGTACATACATTATCTAAATAATGTCTAAAATCAGGTGCATTGGGGGCATCATCCACTCAGACCAGAATTTTTAGAATCGACCTACTTTTTGTATCGAGCAACAGGTGACCATTATTATTTGGGAGTCGGACGTAAGGTACTTAAAAGTCTGCAAATGTATGCAAGAGTGCCATGCGGTTATGCAGCTGTATCAGATGTTAGAACTAACAAACATGATGACACAATGGATAGCTTCGTTTTGTCCGAGACATTTAAATACTTATTTTTATTATTCGCGGAACCAGGCGAATTGGTTTTAGACTTGGACGAATTTATTTTTACTACTGAAGGTCATTTATTACCGCTTACACTCGCTTCCATCAGGACAAATATTTCATCTGTAAGTGTACTGCAGGATGCAATTGATTTGGTAGTGATGGACATAAATTTCACATTTTTAATCAAGCAGGATTTTGAACGCGATATCGTGCATGTGGATGAATTTGACCGTACTTGCCCAAATAGTTTACATTTATTTCCGGCATCAGTAAGGCAACCTTTGAGAAATATGGTCGAAGATGTTTGCCCGAGACGATCGATCAAACGAAGATTAAGTGCATCACAATTTCAGGTATATTCATATCATATTTATATATTTTTGACAAAAATTAAAGATCCAATTTATTTCTACAGGCAAATAATTTGGAACATTTGAAAATGTTGAGTGATATGGGGATAACAACTCTAACACTAGCCGATGGACGGGTTCAACTTTTACACACATTTTCTAATGTAATTTGTCATTAAATATAATATATAATAAATTGTATTTAATATCTTATTATGTTTTATTATGTTTGTTTATGATTATGTTTCTGTGATAAATTATAACATCTATTTAAATATAGGCAAAAACACCGCAAGATTCAGAGGAAGGACTATTGTTCATGCAAGAAATGGTCGAACTCACCAAGATGCAAATACAACCGGAAACTAAACCGCAAACAGTAACATTCACAAAACCTAACACAGATCCACCGGAAAAAATTACGTTGCTAGCCGGACCGGCACAGTTTGGACCTGAATTACAGAATTTCGATAAAATCATCGGAAAAGTAATATTTACATATCCACCTGCAGCTTGCACAGATCTGCTGAACGCAGATAGATTGGCAGGCAAGATAGTGATCATGGATCGTGGAAATTGCATGTTCATAGAAAAGGTATATATCCCTGCAACACATTTCGCCCAATCAGCCTTTTGTACTTTAATTTCATATTTTCATATTTAACTCTAGGCGCGGAGAATTCAACAAGCTGGTGCTATTGCCGGAATAGTATTGGATAATGTTGCGGGTTCGAGTGCGGCAACTTCGCCCATGTTTGCAATGTCAGGCGATGGAAAAGAGGTGGATGACGTCACAATACCTGTCGTGTTTCTCTTTTTCACAGAGGCAGCCGAACTGATGAAAGCTATTAACGCGGCAAATGGCGATCTTACTGTCACACTTGGTAATTATAAAGATTCAAATATAACTAAAATATAAGTGATTCCATTTCTTGCGCATTACTCTTCAACGACAACTTTCGTCTAATTAAAAACCATTTTTTAAACTAAAACATCAAAATATAATCTAATCCAAGATGTGAAATGTCAATTAACATATAACTTGAGTTATAAACAATGGAAAAAAAGCGTTTCCTTAAATTGAATTTTAAAGAATCAAAATGATAACAAAGCTACATTCTTTATTTAATTTCGAGTGAAATTCATTTTATTAGAATTTGCACAGAACATTTAAAGGCTATCTAAGAACTATAAAGTTGTTATAAATGATGATTTCTCGCAATATTTTCATAAAAGTTGACTTCAACGAATCTAGCATTAAAATTTACTGCATATTTTTACAGATAGATTTAACAGATTTGGACTAAACTTTTCTTCAACAAAAATTAGACATTTTTTTAATATTTTAAGATAGTTTTTAAGTAATTAATGATTAAAATTAAAAATAAAAGATTTTTTAATTCTGTTAAGTTAGCTTCTCCACATTAAAAATAAATATATAAAAATTAAATTATTCTCTAAAATTTCTTTTTATGTGCGTTTGTAAAATAGAAGAACTTAGATATTTAGGAAAATATACTTTTAAACAAGAAAACATTAAAATCTTGTTTTATATATTTTGAAAATACCAAAATTAGAGAACGTTTTAGAAACAAGATTTTCCATCTTTAATTTTACGAAGTAATATAAAAAAAAAGATAAATTTTGTGCTAAAAATGTGAAATATTAATGTAATGTTTAAATTAGTGTAGCAAATTTGTAATTGAAATTGATAATGCTAGCTTTACATAAAATTAGCATATCTAGTACTAAATACATATACAAATGTTTTTTTTAAATTTGAAATGTGGAGACAATTGATAAAATGTTTTATTTTATTTTTTGTTATGGAAATACTAATTTAAGAGGAATAGATTTTTTATAGAGATTAAGCTTTAAAAGATAAAAAAGAAATCAAATGCTTTGCTCAAATAAATCTAAGTAACTTAATTAAAAAATTAATTTTAAACATACAGGTTTCAAAGTCCTATCTTATTTCCTGAATCTTAAAGAAATCCTAAAACTGTCTGTTTTGTCGATTAATCTCAATTGTATCGAAATTTCTACGTATTGCTTTAATATTATTTAACTTGGAAATACTTTTCCAGACTTAAGTATATGCATAAATACATATCCGACGCCCGGAATTTATGTCGAGAACGAAAAAAATTTTAATAATTTTTTTATAATTCAGATCTTTATCATTTCTTAACTGTGTGGCGTCTATGAAATCGTGATAAGTGCTTGATGTAAAAGCTGTGCAATTCGTACTTGCGAAATTACGATGGCTAAACTAGTAGATTACGTTAAAAAACAACATGGTAATTCTTAGAATAAAAATTGAAATATCTAATTTTTTCAAGAAATCTGTATATAAAAATTTTTTATGATGTGTATATGCAATATTGATGTAGTAAACATAAACACATCACTATTATCAATATCGCACGCATACATATGTATGTACAAATCATTAGTAAAACAGCGATCCTAAACTCCCAGAGGTCGGCCGTCTCTCTAGCATCTTCTTAAAAAAAAAAAAAAAAAAAGTTTTAGATATAAAAAAAACGGCGAAACATGATATGAATGCAATGATTTCAAGGGACTCCTTTTATGCAAAAAAGTTAAACGCTTTCAGAAGGGTAGGGACGGGGATGAAACCGGAAGCAACTCAAAAATTTTACATAGGAAAAGATGTTGGATTGTTTTAAAAATATAGTTAAGAGAACAATTTTTACGTAAATTTTTATTATAGGCTATTGCAATTTTTTTATTAAAAATTACAAGGGTTTAAAGTTCAAAAACAGTCTTTGTTTTATTATAATTTTTTATTTAGGTTAGAAAAACGTACTTGGTAACAAAATATTGATCTTATTATTAAAATCATCTGTTTTATCGGACCGAATGTGATTATTTTTCAGCACGCTATTTTTCTAATTGTCTACAGATTTACAAATCCTTCCACAATTAAAGTATAAGCACTAAGTCATTTCGACTAACTGTTATTTTTTTAAGCCAAAAAAATTTAAGAAATTTAGATCTTTTTTACTGACTTTTAGTCCAATATGACATTTGTCAACTTGTGTCAATATATACTTTATACAAAAGTTTTACAGTTTGTATATAAAAATTGAAATTGCACGGTCTGCGAATTACATGAAAAAAAAAATATAGTGATTTCTTAGAATTAGGATTAAATATTTAATAAAAAAGATTGATGTGCTTAAAAATTTCTGATATGATACTGATATAGTAATATTGTAAATACGATGTAGTAGTATTGTAAATCATATGTGTATAAGTCGTTTTTAATTGATAAAACAGATGATTTCGATGGAGTTTAGTCTTCAGTTTAGAATACTTGGATTTTATTATTATTAGGCATTTTGAAATAAACAGATCTAGAAAGGCTCAAAGTTATTCATAATGGAAAAAAAAGAAATAAATAAGAATTATTCATTCATATATAGATATTAGTATTTTTTACTTTCATTGTATCAGATATTCAAAATAAAAGTACTATTGATTTCTTAATAAAAAATTCACGTATAATCCTCTTACATTTTGATACATCTGATTATAAACTGAAATATGTACTGTTACTATCCGATTTCAAAATTTATCCATTATATTTAGGAATGTTTTGAAAGTTTTTTCTTTTTCTGTTTTCTTATTTTGGATAATTTTGTGTCTCTGAAAAGCTTAAAAGATACTCTTAATTAATACATATTTGCAATATTTGCTCTCAAGTTCATTTTTCTATTACTTTCCTAGCACGAATAAAAAGAATAGAAGTACAAAAGCTATTTTTGAGTTTTGTAACTTTTAAAAAGAGAAATTTTTCTTTTAACTAAACCTTTGAAACAAGATACAATTTCATCCTATTTCTCATTTAAAAATTTTTAGTTACCTCTCGTCCTCTTGAAGAAATTTTTTTTTGCATAAAAGACTCAAAATAATTGAATTCATTTTCTACCCCTTTTTTATATTTGAAGCCGTATTTTTCCCTTCCTCCAAGATCCAGAGTATAAGATAGAATTTTGTTGTAGAATCACCCTATATGCAATATCAAATTTAAAAGATGTGCTGAATGACAATTTTTCAGTATTTTTACTGACAATGAGGAAATCATTTCTGAATTAGATTGAATTGATTTAAATTGAAAATTTGAAAAAAAAACATTCAGTAGTTTTAAAACAATTTTATACATAGAATATTCAAGTACTTCTTTTTTTAACTGGTTTATAATTGAAGGGCTTTATTGCAACAACGAGCTAACTTACATTTTACCTTGTCTGCACAATACATGGAAGAAACATGTTATTTTCGTCGCAGAAAATATGATACATCTCTCGCACGTCGTCGCGACGATGAAATATTTTACTTTTTAATTAATATTATTTTTTATGTAATGAATTTAGTTGTTAGTTACGTGATAGCAACCTGTCAACAAGACTTTCGAAACGTTGCTGCAACCATGATGTAAGAAGACTACATAATGTCTTCTACATCATGGCTGCAACGTAACGTGCGATAAATTAGCACATTATAATGACGTGCTTGTCACGTTTAATGCAAGTTGGAAACATTTTATAAAAATGAAGAAAATTAACTAAAGTTCATCAATTATACAATATATAATATAAGCATGTACAATTCGGACATGAAAACATTTGATCGGAAAAGTCTTTATTAGAACCAATATTAAAAGTGCAAAGAAATGTTTTGATATTCAACTTAAGCGATCCTTTCTGAGTTTTTTCACTTGATGTAACCGCCTTACGCCTCGATCTCATCACTTTAATCCCGGTTCGAAAACGCGAGCATTTTTTCAATTGGGCTCAGTCCATGATCGCAAACATTGCTTCGATGGCGGAGGAAGGCCCAGGTGGGATGCTTGGATACTAGTTCTCGATTACGCCTCGCACGTAGTAGTCGAAAGGATTCATGTTGAGACTATTGGAAGCTAGGCCAAAAGTCCTTGAATTTTTTAACTTGGCGGCTTCGGAGAGCACCTGGCGAATCTTAAAAACATAAGACGTGTATCTGAGATCCTCTTGAGCGATTCAGTCGATAGTGTCATTTCCAAAATGGTTGCCAGCCGTCTTTTCCTGAGCGAGGTCCCTAAATTTTCCAAAGTAAGGTCTTGGACTCTTTCAATGAGTTCCGGAGTCCTTGTTGCTTACTTCCTTGAGTCTTCCTCGCCAGGGTAGAGAAGTCCTCCTTGGACTCCTCTGAGGCCGTGTATCTTTGGGCAACATCGTACACCGTCGATTTATCCAAAGAACCATATTATTTCGACATTAACATTCTTCCGACACGAGGACTTTCAATAATCGCCGCCCTCTGGTTACTAATATTTCGGGCTAGTCTGACCAACTCGGCCATTTCAAGATTATGAACGTTTGTAATTTTTAAAATTTTTATTCGTTTTTGCTACAAATTCCTGTGTCCCGGAAATACATTTTATGTCTATTTCAATCCTGTGAAATGGTTTTCAATTCCGTTTTGTCATTTCGGAGAAATCTTTACGATTGCAATGTGTCGGTAATTTCAACCTTCCAGCATCGTCTTAAGCATTTTTATAATTGCTTCAGAACTTAATTTTCGAATAAATCTTTATTTTTAATTTATTATATAACTATCGATAATAAAACTATCGATACTTATATTTTTACAAAAAGAATTGAGTTAAAGATATTTAAAGAAATTGTAATTAAAAATTAGTACACAATTTGTTCTGATTATTCTAGATTAATACTAATTGTACAACCTTTCTTTATACACATGTTACAGGGATATATTCTTCTAAAGAAGAAATTCAGCTTAAAGCTCCTACTGATTTGTCATTGTTTGAACGTTTGAAAGGATCATTAAAATCATTTCTCAGTCGACAGTCAACTCCCCAGGTTTGTTATTTTTTTCTTTGTTTATTTTACACAAGGATTGTATTTTAGTCTACATTTTATATAAAACTTAGAAAAATAAAAATTCTATATATTTATAGGCAACAACTATTGCATCGAATTTGGATATGATTCCTATAATTGAATCACAAGAAAATCAGGAGGACGCTATTGACTTTCATTATTTTCATGCAGAAATTGTCAAAGATTCGCTTGGTGGTGAAGTCAGAATTACTGCCGCATCCGAAGCTACAATTATCGTCTTAAGACCAGTTTCTACACCGATAGAGATTTTGTGGCATCAATTAAAAGAAGTGTTCGTAAATCAAATATTTCTCAATACTAAACAGAACAAAGGTATAAGAATTAGAAGTTTTATTTTGGAGAGCTATTACAATTGGATTAATAAAGCGCGTGGCGTGCTTACGAAAACATCGTTATCATATAAAGTGCGATGGTTTTTAAGCGAGCTGCTGGTAGTCGCGCCAAACTCATCTATTAAAAAAATGGGACAGCTACTAGAATCAAACAAGCAGAAGCTATTGAAACAGTATTTACTTACTAATATGGACACTATGGTGCTGAATTTAAAAACTGTTGCTACAAAATTGAAGAGTATGAAATCTGTAAGACCCGAAATGGAACAGCTGCTAAAGATTTCGGAGTCTGGCATTGCACAAGTTGAAAATTATTCATTTTTACGTCATTTATTAACTGATTTGTTTGATGAAGAAGATGATATCGTTAATCAACACGTCGCCCTTCTGGATCGTATTCACGCAGAAGTTCATACTACATATCAAGAAATATTAATTGATGGAGTCCAAAGGCATCTGGAGAAATCGGGTGTAGAAGATAGCTCATATTACGACATATTGATTGCCGATTTGCAAAATAATTTAAAAAATATAGATAAACGAGAAAATTTACTTGGGAAAACTAAAGAAAACAATTTGGCAGTGGCGGAATTTATTAGTGACAGTAATGGAGGTAAATTAGAATCGGAAGGAAAAAACATTAAAATTTTAAAGAAAATTAAAGACTCCAGTACTGAAAAATTAGAGGATTTTGAGTATTTCATATTAACAGAAATAGAAAAAGCTGTGAAATATTCTGAGCAAAATATCTTACAAAAATATGAAGATATAAGCGATAAATCGAAAAATATTGTAGAAAATAAAAAAGATAAGAATGTCGTCAAATCCGGCGAAATTACTCTGCACTCCTCTCAAAATCAGAACAAAAGTGAGAATAGAAAAAATAAAGTTCAAAATACCTTTCAGAAAGAGATAGATTTTTTACAAATAACAAAGGTAGTGGATGAAAAATTCAAAGAAACAACTGAAGACAAAATGAAAGAAAAATCTTTTGCAGACACTACATCGAGTGATACTAATAAAATTCATGTTTCTGATACGTCTATGGCTATGGATACCTCCAATATAAAGACAGATTCGCCCAATAAAAAACATACTTTATTACAAAAAGACATTAATGATATACAGCATAATCATGAGACTGATTTAAGAGCAAAGTCATCCAATCAGAAAAATTCCGTTGAAAGTAAAATTATATCCACTGATTTATTGGAAAAGTTTAAAAATCCTATGTGGATTATTAATGAGGAAAAAATACTTCAAAAGAAGTCACAAACTGTAGATAGTATCACAAAATCCAATGAAATAAAATATGATGAAGAAAAATATGTGAATAAAGATAAGGAAGCTAAACCAAAATTGCGTACAGCTAAACATATCGATAATGAATTATAACAATAGCTCTGAGATTTAGACTAAATTATAATTATTATGCAAAAACAGAATTTTCGACGGCCTTTACTTCATAAGGCTACTGCATTACAACTGATATTTTTGCATTGTGATCTAGATGTGCATATAGTCAAATTGACAAATGTGTGTATATGTATATATATATATATATATATATATATATATATATGTATATGT